AGATAATCAGATCAGGTTCTCGACGCAAGAAAGGCCTCCGCGCTGACCGAAGAGAAGGAAGAGTAAAGGAGACAGAGAAGAGAAGAATCTGACGACTAAGGGCACCGTAACCGCCGCGGAGAACCATCCGTTGCGGCGACGCGTCCGACAGGCGACGTTTAAACCTCCTTAAGATCAGTTATTTTACACCTTCAGATAATTACCGAGAGTAATAAAAATAAGGGAGGGAAAAAAAGAAGATATATTGCGCTACTTTTCGCCAAACCAGTTGTTATAAAGGGAGCGTTCGTCCATGGGAAGCAAAAAAGGCAGAATCGTTGATGTGGCTCGTAGGAGCTGCGCCACTTGTGCCCTCCTCCTCTCCTCCCTTTTCTTCTTTTCCTCTCCTTCCACTCCTCTTGGGAAAATATTTCCTTCCTCTCTTCCTTTTCTTCCTTTTTCTTCTTCCTCTCCCCTACCTCTCCTCTTAACAAATACTTCTCTCCTCTCCTCCTCTTCTCCCTTTTCTTCTTCCCCTTCTCTTGGAAAATGCTTCCTCCCTCTCCTTTTCGTCTTCGTTTTTTTCTTCCCCTTCCCTTCCACTCCTCATAAAAGACATTTACTCCTCTGTTCCTCCTCTTTTCCTTTTCTTCTTCCCTTCTCCTTCCCCTCCTCTTGGAAAATGCCTCCTTCCCTTCTTCGTCTTTCTTTGGTCCCCCTCTAGAGATATTTCCTCCGTTGCTCCTCCTTTCCCTTCTCTTCTTCCTCTCCTCTTATAAGATGCTTCCGTCCGCTTCTTTCCTTTTCTTCTTTCCCTTCCCTTCCCCTCCTCTAAGAAAATGCTTCCCTTCTCTTCTCTTCTTCTTCTCCCTTTATTTCTTCCCCTTCCCTTCCCCTCCTCTTAAAAGATGCTTCCCTCTCCTCCTTCCCTTTCCTCTTCCCTTCCCCTCTTCTTCCTCCTTCTTTTAATTGACTTCCCTTCCCCTATTCTTGGGAGGTGCCTTTCTCCCCCCTTCCTTCCTCCTCCCCTCCCCCCCCTTTATTCCTCTCCTCTCCTGTAATGTAAGATAAAAGTTTTTATGTTTTTCTTTTATTCTATGATTATAGAATCGTCACACAATTTACGTTTGTTGCACGTTTCGTCGAGGAAGAATAAACACAACATTACGAACTGTATGGCTCACGAAAACAATATATTTTCTTGGTGTATTAACGTTCTTGTTTCATGTGAAAAGTCTACTGATGCCTGCCGTCGGACTGTATAGTCGTTCAATAGGAATTGCATTTACTCAGATTCTTGGCGATAACTAAAACTGATGAGACAGCAAGCATGATCTGGAAGGCCCATTCTATATGTTTTTACTTTGATATAATCTAACACAATAAAACGCTGATTTATCCATTGCGTTTCTCTTTATGGTGGAGTGTTTTGTCATTCAGAAATACGCCATTTAGTTATGACCAGTACTAAGGTAAACTGAGTGCACTAGTCTCTGTTTCTAAGTAAGCAGGGTAAAAAGATATTACTTATATTGACCATCTTAAAGTTTTACATTGCCCACGATCATGGCTTGTGTACATTTAATTGTCTTCGCTTTCATAGATGGCATGCAACATTTGGCAATGTGATTTTCTTGTTATATCTTGAATTATTATGTATCAGTTTATGCCATGAATGAAAATTAAAATATACTCATAAACATAATTATATCATCATCGGTCATAGGTCGTATATATGCAGCCAACATGGTGGTCATAGTTACTGCATCACATTTACAAATGAAATCTTCAGATGAAAAAAATAAATAAAAATCACAAAATCTTCTATGACATTCTTTCCATACTTACGCTGTCACTCACTCGGCACACATCTATTAACCAACCATCACTCACTCCTTACTCACTTTTTATTCATCTGTCACTCATCTGTCATTCACCAGTCACTCACCTACCATTTTCTTGTCACTCGCCCATCACTCGCATACCCTTTACCCATTCACCGTTCCCACGTAAATCACCTATCACTTACCAGCCATTTCCCTGTAATTCACTCACCGCTCACCTACCATCCCCGTGCAATTCACCTGTCACTCACCTACCATTCGCTTGCACTTCACTTGTCACTCATCTCCCATGCACCTATCAGTTCCCTACAACTCGCCTTTCTCTTACCTGCCATTTTCCTCAAAGGCACCTATTTTTTCACTTGCCTTTCTCATTCTTCTCTAAGTCACCTATTTTTCCCCTTGTCTCTCCGATTCCCCTTTAATTCACCTATCTCTCACCCTCTAACTCGCCTAATTTTTTTTTCATTTGCCTCGCCCATTCCGCTCTAACTCACCTACCTTTCCCTGTAACTCACCTGCCTCTCACCTACCTTTCCCTGTAACTCACCTGCCTCTCACCTACCTTTCCCTGTAACTCACCTGCCTCTCACCTACCTTTCACTGTAACTCACCTGCCTCTCACCTACCTTTCCCTGTAACTCATCTGTCTCTCACCTACCTTTCCCTGTAACTCACCTGTCTCTGACCTGCCTCTCCCGATCTCCCAGGGCAGCCACAGGGACCGCATGGGTCAGTTCACGTGGGGCGGCTGTTCAGACAACATCCGCCACGGCACTGCCTTTGCTCGACGCTTCATCGACGCCCATGAGAGGCGGCAGCGAGACGCCCGCGCCCTCATGAACTTGCACAACAATCGGGCGGGACGTAAGGTAGGTCAGGAGGGGTCAAAGGTCAAATGGGGGCCAAGGGGTCATGTTGATGATAAAGGAGGGGAGATGGGAGGTAGAGCAGTATGATTGGGTTTCGTATTAGGCAAGATAAGATAAAAGATAAGATAGGAGAGGAAAGATATAGTGTTAGGGAAGACAGGATGTTAGATAGAGTAAGATAAGGTGTTAGGAGAGGTTAAACACGGTAAGATAAGGTGTTAGGAAAAATAAGGAACGTGTGTTGGCAAAGGGGATCGGAGATTATAAAGATACTGAGTTCGAAAATTTAAAATTACCGTAGAAATCAAGAAGCAAAAAGGTTAAATGGTCGTCGATATGCAAAGATTGAGGTCAAGCACTAAAATAAAAATCAAACAAATGAAAAAAAGTTTGATTTAGTAGAACAAACTTGAGAAAAAGAAAGTGGGACGCAGACCACTTGATGGATGAGCGAGTAAGTGGTGGTGGAAGTTAGAAAACTGGCTGATGTGTGTCAACAAGAGGAAGAGAGAGAGAGAGAGATAGATAGATAGATAGATAGAAAGAGAGAGAGAGAGAGAGAGAGAGAGAGAGAGAGAGAGAGAGAGAGAGAGAGAGAGAGAGAGAGAGAGAGAGAGAGAGAGAGAGAGAGAGAGAGGGAGAGAGAGAGAAGAGGGGAGGTGAGGGAAGGGAATGGGGGAAGAAGAGAAAGACAGAAACGGATCCGGGGGCATCGAGGCAGACGCACGGGCCCCAAAGCCAGCCGTACGTCCCGACCAGCACCCGCAACCACCCCCTTCAGGTAACTCCAGCCTTGGCACAGGTAACCTTCACGCCCGCTCCTCCGCCTCCTGCCGGCTGGTTCGGTTGTCTGGCTTCTTGGATTTCACAGCAATTTTCTTATTCTGGTAAATAATTGACCAATTACGTACAGGTTTGGCGAGGCAGAGACGAAGGGTGGGGGGGTGGGGGGAATAAGGATAATGCCTCAGTATCCCCGAGGGCGAATATCCACCACAAAAGGATGGATTTGTTGTGGATTTTTCATCGCGATCTCTCTGCGATTACGCGTTCGAGGATGCTTTTGGATAGGCATTAAAACATCGTCTTTGGATTACGTATTTTGTATAATGTTATG